TTTATTTATTTATCTATCTATTTATTTATTTATTTATTTATTTATTTATTTATTTATTTATTTATTTATTTATTTATTCATTTATTTATTTATTTTCTTCCCCTTGTCGTGTTCAGCATTATGGCAACAGAGTTGTAATCTGAGTGCCCAACACTTTTGCTTTGCCCAGGGAGGCTTGTCAGGGTCAGAAGCCTCCCTTGATCATCCAATACTGCTATATTATTTATTTAAGATGTATTTTCGTTACCGAAGTAAGATGGTTAATGCCAAACCTGACAGGGGGACAGGAAAAGTGAAAAAAGGAAGAAAAAATTAAAAAGGAAGAAAAAAATTCAATAAAAACATTTTAGAGGTAAAAATAGGAAGAGAGAATAGAAATTTTTTTGAGAATAGAGTCATTTATAAAGCACCTAAAGCCAGAATAGATGCCCAAAATTATGTAAAACTGGAGATAAGACACAGAAGACACGAATATGAATGAATAAGCCCCAAAAGAACCCCGGAGAAGCTGTTTCTGCTACAGATGTGGGTTCACGTTGTAGGTTTGCTCCTTATGAAACCTCACTCCCTGGGGTGAGATGAGCTGGAAAAGACGCAGAAATAGGGAGAAAAGTTCACAGGGGATTCATTCAAAAAGAGCAAAGGGATGAAATCAAAGAGCCGGCTTGTGGTCCGATAAAAGCGCATGCTCTGTTTTAGTGAAACCTCGTATTTTAGATCTGTTAAGCCCAACTTTGGACCCTCGTTTTGACCCGATTGGACCAGGATGAAAGCCGTTTTAATGGCCTCCTGCCTCCTGCATCATGTGACCCAGATAGATGTTTCCATTCCCTCCTTTTCTCAGTGTGTGACCCCTGTTGTATTTCCCCCCCCCCCCCCCCCCCCGTCTCAGAGGCACTTCATGCAGTGCGTCCTGCTGGAAGCGGGTGGATGTGCCTCACCGGCTCTGGGCTCCACCGGACCGGACTGCGTTTATGTGGATCAGGTAATTAATTTATTAATAGTAGAAAAAACAAACAAACACTTAAGTCTCTAATTTCTGGCCTGTTAGTCTTTCATTGGCCTCCTGTGCGTCTAAAAGTGATTTAGCAGCCTTAAAAAAGAAGCCTTGAAGGCCTTTGGGGCAGATTAAAGTTTTCTGAGCATAAATGGAAGTCAATAATGAATAATTAAATTGACTATTTAATGAACAAATGGTAAATAATCACCATTTTGTTAAGTTCATTGTTGTATTTATCGGGTCCAACAGAATTTATGTGAACTGACAAACAAACAAAATCCAATTAATCAAGGAGAACAGAGCCTCTGATTTAAGCTGATTTAACCCTAACCCTAACCCTAAACCTGACCCTAACCCTGACCCTAAAACTAACCCTAACCCTAACTCTAACCTAACCATAACCCTAACCCTAACCCTAACCCTAACCCTGATCCTGACCCTAACCCTCCACCCTTCATAATTGTGAGAAAAAAATATTTTTGGGTTAAACTTATTTGGACTTATTGTACAAACCTATTTAACATCCACTATTTTAACATAATATTATGTATAGAGTTTAATTCAGAGTTTGCAAGATTCATTTCACTATTTTTAAATTTACATCTATATTGCCATGAAGCAATTACCATTTTCTTGCATTAGATCTTCCTATTGGTGACCTAATCAAAATGGCCGACTTGCATGTGGGCGGAGTCGGACCTCCATCCTTGGCCTCCTGCGTTACCCCTAACCCCGCCTGTCTGGGTTATGCCCCTAAACACTTCTAAATTCGCTGCTGTAAGAGGACAAAAATAGACACAGACACAGTCATTTCAGTGAAAAACTTGCAGAACTTTGTTTCTTACAAGAAGAAGAAGCGAAGCAGCGTAGCCGATAAAAATCCGACACGCCAACAGCAGTTTATAGGTTTATAGGTATGGGACAAATTTGCATTTAGAGGGAAGCACATGTTAGAATTAGCACTGTTTCCTCTCTTGCAATACCAGAATCTCACCTACTTTTAACCTCAGACTGTCACAATAACGTATCAAATGTCAGACTGCTTTTTTCTTTCAGTTATAACCTGACTATACAAGCCATAATAGATTTTCCCAACAATCAACATATACCGAACCGAACCGAAAACCGTGAAAACCACGAAACCGTGAATCGAACCGAACCGTGGATTTTGTGAACCGTCCCACCCCTAGGATGCATGCTAACTTATGTACCATCATTCTAACCCAGGGGTGTCAAACTCTGGCCCGAGGGCCAGATTTGGCCCGCGTTGTAATTATATTTGGCCCGCGAGACAATACCAAATGATTTCATTTCATTTCATTTTTCATTTAATTTATTTTGAAACATGATATGATTTAACAATGTTTACATAGAATGCTTCATAAACATGCATCATGTTTCAAAAAGGAGTAGGATGAAGCATAAGCTTTATACTGTACAGTGCATTAACCGCTCATACTACAACTCCCATAATGCCCTGCTGCTGTTCAGAACAGGACCCAGAAACTCCTATGTGACAGTAGGTACACACTACAGCTGTCACTGTGCTGCTTCCAAAAAATGACCGAAAGAAAGGCAGGAAACTGGAGCTTTCTGGACAAGCAAATTTAATATTGCCAAATTTAATTCAGAAGGCTGCGAATAGAACATTTTTTTTACATTTTATTTCATAAACGAATGCCATTGATGTGTTTTTTTATTTGAAATTGGATTTTGCATGTTTCCACTATTAAGTTATATATCATGTAATAAGAGTTGCTTGTTCCATATTCAATATTAAAGCTAAATTAGTTTTATTCCACATTAAAAGGTTCATTTGTTCAATCTTGGCCCGCGGCTTTGTTCAGGTTTGAGATTTTGGCCCTCTGTGTTTTGGAGTTTGACACCCCTGTTCTAACCCCTCCCTCGTCTGGGTCCAGGTCAAAGCCACGCTTCTGCAGCTGGAGGCCCTGGAGGGGGGGATCCGGGCCCGTTTGGCCGCCCCCCCCACGCCCTGCCTGTCCTGCGCCGACTGGTTCCTGCCGGCCGCCCGCGAGCGCCCCACCTCCCCCATCCTCAGCAGGCTGGCCGGGGTCATCAGAGGCTCCTCCCCCTCTGGAGGAGGGCCAGGACCACTGCCCCCCCCCCAGACCCGGGCGGGAGGCCGGGGGGGCGCCGGGACTCCGTGGGCTCCGACGGCCCCTTCAGGGTTTGTTTGAATTGAATTAAATTGAATTGAATTGAATTGAATATACAGGACTGTCTCAGAAAATTACAGAATATTGTGATAAAGGGTTAGGGTTCTTTATTTTCTGTAATGCAATTGAAAAACATGAAATGTCATACATTCTCGATTCATTACAAATCAACTGAAATATCGCAAGCCTTTTATTGTTTTTATATCGCTGATTATGGCGTACAGCTGAAGAAACAACAAATATTCTGAAAATATTAGAATATCGGATTTTTGAGTTTTCTTCAACTGTAAGCCATAATCAGCTATATTTAAACAATAAAAGGCTTGCGATATTTCAGTTGATTTGTAATGAATCCAGAATGTATGACATTTCATGATTTGTAATTGCATTACAGAAAATAAAGAACTTTATCTGCATTAATTTTAAGAACCATTTGACCTAATTTAATACTCACCTGGTTCTTAAATGAACCTAAAGAAGGAATAAACCTACTGAAAAGTTACTTAGAAGAAGAAAAATACTCAGCTGAAGGACAGGATTCGGGGAAAGTTCAAAGGGAGCTAAAAGTGTTCTGATCTCTTTTGTTCCAGATGTCCAGGATGAAACACCCCAACCCTTTTTACCTGGGAACCCTGAGGAAGAGCCTGACCGAGAGGGAGGCAGAGGAGGTGTACAGCAACATAAAGTGAGAGGCAGAAATCGCTTTATTGACCGAATGTACAAGGAATTTATCCTGGTGTGGCAGGCCCTGATACCACTGGACAATTTAAATAACACATTTTGCTAATATAAAAGGAGTAAATAAGTAAGTACAATATGTACAGTTATGAAGGGACAGTTATTTGTGGGCAGGAAAAGTAAATATATTATGATCGGGTGTTCTTTAAGTGGCCCCGATTTAACCTCCTGAGAACAGAGCTTTTATTTTGGCGGGTGTTCCTGCTTTTTTTTCCAGATTTCTGGAATCAGTAGGACCTGATAAGTGTAATAACTAGACTTTGTCCTGGTACAGGTAGTTTTTCTTCATATAGGTGGGTTTATCTTTAGATTTAAAACGTCTTTTTATATATTTAATTAAATGTTTTTTCTATTTGGTTCTGAGGGTCCAAACGACTCATTTACAACAATTTAATTCCACAATAAGAGCACGATTGGTGTAAAATGTCTGAAACCATTTTCCTTTAGATTTCAAACAGTAGTGTATGATAGCGTCTGCTATGAGGCCAAGAGGTCAAAGGTCAAAGAAAAAAAGAAGGATCCTGATATAGGGTCGGATCCTAGGTTTTTGGGGTAGATTCTTAGAATAAAAGGGTTGGATCTCAGGTTTTTATGGTTGGATTTTAAGTTTTTAGGGTAGGATCTTAAAATATTAGGGTCAGATCCTTGGTTTTTAGGGTAGATTCTTAGAATATTAGGGTAGGATCGCAGGTTTTTATGGTTGGATCTCAGGTTTTTAGGGTAAATTCTAAGAATATTAGGCTAGATTCTTAGAATAATAGGGTCAGATCCTAGGTTTTTAGGGTAGATTCTTAGAATAATAGGGTTGGATCTCAGGTTTTTATGGTTGGATCTTAAGTTTTTAGGATAGGATCTTAAAATATTAGGGTCAGATCCTAGGTTTTTAGGGTAGATTCTTAGAATATTAGGGTAGGATCTTAGGTTTTTAGGCTGCCGTTCAGCTGGATGAGGGGGTTCGGGGGGCGGTGGAGGCCGGTGGGGCTAACCCCAGAATTTGCCTTCAGGCTGACGGCGGGCGCGGAGAACCCGCTGTTCCACTACGTTCTGATGGAGAACGTGCAGGGCATCTTCATCGCGCCGACCCACGGAGAGGTGGCCCAGCTCAGCGGCTCCGTCCACCCACGGCTCATCAGGAACTTCCACCACTGCTGCCTCTCCATACGCCACGCCTTCCAGCAGAGCCTCCCCGCCAGGGTGAGCCCCCCCCCACACATCCAAGTCGGCCATTTTGATTAGGTCACCAATAGGAAGATCCCAGGCAAGAAGATCCTAATTGCTTGATGGAAATATAGACACTGATTTAAAAATAGTGAAATTAATCTGGCAAACACTGAGTTAAATTCTATCCATAATATTATGTTAAAATAGTGGATGTTAAATAGGTTTGTACAATAAGTCCAAAACAAGTTTAACCAAAATATATTTATTTCTCACAATTATGAAGGGTGGAAGGTTAGGGTCAGGATCAGGGTTAGGGGTTAGGGTTAGGGTCAGGGTCAGGGTCAGGTTTAGGGTTAGGGTTATGGTTAGGTTTAGGGTCAGGGTAAGGGTTAGGGTCAGGGTAAGGGTTATGGTTAGGGTTAGGGTCAGGGTTAGGGTTAGGGTCAGGTTTGGGTTTAGGGTTAGGGTTAGGACATTGTTTTTCCTCCGATTCTCGTATAGACAGTAAAGTTCCGTCTCCACCTCAGAAAGCTGCTAGTCACATGACCTAATCAAAATGGCCGACTTGGACGTGGGAGGAGTCGGATATCCAGCCGAGGCTCCTACAGACTGCCCCCCCCCCCCCCCAACCCTAACCCTAACCCTAACCCTAACCCCCTTTAGGGCCGGCGGGGGGCGGACCGGTCCCCGGGCGGGTGGGGCCTCGGCCCGGTGAAGGAGCACGGCGTGCTGTTTCAGTGTAAACCCGAGAACTGGACCGACCAGAAGAGGCCGCCGCCCACCATGACCTACTGGGTCATCGGGTAGGTCTGGGGAACAGGAACCCGGTTGGGTTCTGTTGGGTTCTCTCAACTCAACTCAACTTTATTTATAAAGCGCTTTCAGTCAGCCAAAGCTAAAATCAAAGCGCTGTACAGGTCATTTGAGCAGATCATAAAACACAATCATCACCACAACACAAGACAAACTCAAAGATAATAATAAAAAAAACCCTGTTTGGTTCTGGGACCAGAGGGTTCAGAGTACCCTAAACTTTAGGGTAACCTGAGCCCTCCGTACCCAGAACCAAACAGAGTTCCTGTTCTTTAGGGCCTAAAGAACAGGAACTCTATTTGGTTCTGTTGGGTTCTGGGACCAGAGGGTTCAGGGTACTCTAAAGAATAG